GAGGGCGTCAGCCCCGGTAGCCCCGGGGTTGCGGGCTCCGCTCCCGGCCTCTTACTCAGGTTACTGGAGAGGCTCCGCAGGGTCTCGGTGCTGTCATCCAGCAGCGCCTGCAGCACCCGCGAGGCCTGGAGCATCTCGTCCAGCTACGGGGGAAAAAGGGTCCGGTGAAATCCCGGGAAACGCCACCAGGACAAACAAGGAGGTGCTGCCCAAGCAGCAGGGATTATTCCCTTAAGTGTCCTCTTAAATCACAGCACGTGCGATGCTCTAAAAGCAGCTCTGACCCAACAGGCGCTTCTTCCTTTGCAGCCACATAAAACTCCTCTGTAACCAGAACCACTATCCTTCCTTATCTAAGCCACATGCTGGCTCCTATACTTCACCATAAAAAGCAGATAACAACTCTGCTTTAACTAAATCCCACTAATTAATCTATAAATTCAACTTAATAAAGAGTCTTTGACACTATATGCTTTTTTCCCCCAAAAAACAGTTGCAGGTAGCTCACCACGAGCTCCATGCAGGTAAAGACTTCTCCCTGGTCATCGAGTATCTTCTGGTAGTTGGGCTTGCTGCCGAGAACTTCGGCCTGGGATGTTCCTAGATAACTCTCGGGCTCTGAGCTGCCTCCACTAACCTTGCATTCCTTTAGGCGCCTGGAAAACAAAAGCCATTTAGCTGTTACGTGTGGCTCAAGGCACCATTTGAAGCCATTTTTTTGTCGGGAATCCTTCAAAAACGGGACAGACACAAGATAAAGGGCAAGAGGCTCCACCTGGACATTTCTTCAGCGTTTTTCTGGTAGTCCAGTAAAAGTTGATCCCAAGCTTGACATTCAGTAGAAAACCTACAAAAGAGCAGAGAACGGGGCTGTTACTGAGTAGCCAAACCCATAACAGCCGGCCCCTAACACGCAATCTCACCTGGCCATATACTCCTTAATTTGGGCCACTGACTCGGCTAAAGCGGAGTCCGATGAAACCCTAAAACACAGAAGCAGGAGGTCAGTGCAGCTCCATGCAACATTCCTATGACATTCTGATGCCTCACACAGCTCTGATGACTGTGAGTCCTTAGGGGAAATGCTTAGAATTGTAGAATATGGCAGAGAAGTTCTTTTTGATGGACAGAATTCATAAAAATAACACACCTCCAAGTATTCCCTATATTATTTGTCCAATAATTTAGATAAAATTTGGAATAAATTTAGCTTAGACAGGCCATAAAGGAGAAATAGAAAAATAATAAAAAAGGAGAAATAGAAAAATAATAATTTTTCACTCCACAAGTGATGGACGAGACAAATCCTTACCCCATAGGATCCTCCACACACTTCTTCAGTGTCCCATCAAGTTCCAGTTTCTGCAAGTGCTGCTTCAGCTCTTCTGTAACTGAAATCACTAGAGACAAAGTTTAAACACTGCTCATGCCAGCTGCCCGTAAGGTTACTAATATTGACAAAAAAAATGCTATCTAACTAATAAAACATTTATTAGACGGCATTAGAGTTAACATTTATACTGTTTCTGAAGGAGCAACCAAGGTTGAGTTTAGCCTATTTGTTCTTCCTTAAAAACATCACTCAAATATTCCTGGATACACCAGCCCCTTTTTTCTACGATGCAGCTGGTTTCCCCTTGGGAGGTTGACAGGGAAGGATGAACCATGTTAAGTTCTAACATTATCTTCATTTTCCGATACTATAATGCAACTTACCATTAGCCTGGAAAGCCTCAGGATTAAAGCCTTCTGTCTCCTTCAAGGCATCTTCAAGCTTTTGGGCAGAAAACTAAGAGAATGCAGAAAAGGAGGTCTTTTCCCCCTTCCTTGAAGTATATTCTCCCTAAACTCTACAGGCTATATATATATATATTTTCTTTTCCCAAGCATTTAAACACACATATAAAACACATTTCACATCAAAAGAAAAATAAAACAGTTCACTTTTACATCAGAGCACCTCACCTGGAAACTGGACAGCAGTAGCATGGAAAGTCTCTCTGTCTCTGGCAAATCTAGGCTGATTGATTTGCTCAGTGCTGAAAAGCCAAAAACAAGTAATCTTAGGCCAAATTACACACAGTCGAAATGTTCTTGAATGATGCTACGAGGTCCTGTGTTTGTGAAAGCTGTTTCCAAGTTTGGGATGGGAGCAGGGAAAAGAGGGAGAGGGAATTTGAGACAAGGAGAATGAAGCTTAAGCACCAAATGTGAAGGTAAAGGCACAGATCCTGCGTTGCGCTGGTGCACGGAACACGTTACCCGTTTTAATTGCAAGTACCTGGAACCTCCAAAGCAGCTGCCAAGATGGACATCAACAACTCGACGTTTGGAACAACGCTGCCTACTTAAGGCTGTGCCACGCCATCAATTTTCCACTTGTAGATTATCAATCAGCAAGTTTCTTAAGAGTTTAATTACAGGAAGGAGGACAACACTCACCAGTGATATCCCGGTGAAAGGGAGGCAGAGATTTGCGGCGTTTTGTCCCCATCAGGCTCGAGCGACGCCACGAATCGCGCCTGGCGCTAACTGGTGTTGGAGACAAGTTAAAGGAACTTAACCTGTGCTCTTTCCTGGGGCTCCTTTTGCATGGAGATATCCTCTCCGGGCTCGGCGCGAAGCTTTTCTTGGCGCTCGGGCTCCTGTAGTAGGGTCTTTTCCTCCTCGCCTCTCCAGCCTTTGCGCAGGGGCTGATCTTCCTGGTGACGGCGGTTACGTCCGATGGCTTTAGAAACAGCTCGGGCTCCTCTTTCTCCTCTCCGGGCCGCTGTTCTGCGGGAAAAACCGCACGGAAAAGGCGTCAGCAGCAACCGGGATAGGGAAAGCGGCGGAGAGGGGCTGTCCCGGGC